GTTGAAGAGGGTCTGTGCAATCCTTCTGCCTAGTCCGCCATCTTGCCCCGCCTCCCAAGAGCAATTTTTAGAGGAAATATTTTATTTTCTAAGCTAATATTTTGCACTCAATCAATATTCTCTAAAAAGAAAGTTCAGAAATCCCTTTCCAAGGCTGGACTGGCAGAAATTTAGAAAATCAACATGTTTTACTTCATGTAAAGACCACAACCTATGTCAAAATTAAGTGTTTCCTTATATCTATATTTAAATTTGCTATTCCAAAAGAGTTGAGATAAAATTCTGTATCTAAATCATTAACAATATAGGAGTGAATCCAACTCAAAGATGCTATGTCAGGGAAAATGGCAAATATCACTCATTCCTCACCTTTGTGTTTCACAATCCTTCTTCTCACCCCAGACGACATAGATCCCCACCCCCAACATCCTGTTGGTTTAACACCTGTCCACAACCACATGATGCAGCAATCCAATATATAGTGAAATATTCTTTCTTTCAGGGAAATCTTTATTTCTAATTGTAAAATTGTCACCTACTGCTACTACTAGAGAAGAGAAGTTGTGTCTTTCAGCAGGAAACTCATTTCCGGACTTAGGCCTATTACAGAATCCTGGGTAGCCTTCACATTTCACACCTGTTGTATGTACAGGTTTCACATAACTTCCTAGAATAGGGCCAGAATTAATCACCCTCTGAGGTGGGTTCTCTGAGATTATTCTTCTCAGAGTGCACTTAAGGCTCCAGAGAAACACAGTCAATGGCAGACTCCAGCTGTCACCCATAACCTATAAGGTGATGTTAGTTAAGGATCAAGATGTCCTCTGATCACAGTTCTAGACTTCAAAGTCTAGATGATCTAAGGTTATAATGCACAGAGCAGGTAGGGAGGGTGATATTATGGCGATTAAATTTAAAAATGAAAATCCTTCTGCCTACATGAGATTGGTGCCCTCTCAGCAGGGAGCTCTGGGCTAGGCATTAAGCCTGGCCCTCCTGATCCTATCTATGTTCAGAGGAACTTTTCTCCTTTCAGCTCTTCAAGGCTCTCCATCATTAGATAACTGCCTTTGAATTTTTGTGACACTAAATATTAAGGAGCTTTGGTGGGTGTAGGGCTTAAGGCATTTGGCTACTAATCAAAATGTCAGTGGTTCAAACCTACCAGCCACTCCATGGAAGAAAGATTGGGCAATCTGGTTCCATAATGACTCACAGCCTTGGAAATCCAATAGGGGTCAATATGAGTCGGAATCAACTCAGTGGCAGAGAGTTTTGTTTAATGTGATACTTAATGTTATTTTTGCTAAAAATTTCCAGTGAAAGAGTGACTATAAGTCTCTCTGTGATAAGTATCACGAGAAGTCCATGAGCTAACTTCCTCCTGATGGTGGATCTGATATGATACACTTTTTCCTGTTATTTTATTTCTAAGAAGCTATCTGTGCTTGGACATCCCCTGGGAACTCCTGAATACTAACCTCTTCTGTACCTCAGTGTTAGTCTTCAATTTACTTGGCTGTTTTTAAAAGCCTATACCATTCCCCATAGTGATTATATTCCAGACTTTTCTACATTACATAAGATTCCAATACCATCTCCTTTCCCAGGTCATTCTCAACAGGTCTCACTTTCACTTTCTGGACTATTCACTATGCTTCACGGTGATATTTTTGTTCCCTTATTACCACCCCCTCTCTTTCTCACATCAGAATCTCTACTCCCATCACCACTCTTTGTCTTTTTCTCCCAGAAAGACATGTCTCACTTTTTAAAGGTCAGTTCCTCCTTCTTCATCCTATTCACTCCTGCTTTCCCCTTGCTTGCTATGAGGACTTCATGTCTCCCCAGTTGGGCTATTGTTTATAAATTAACTTGTCAAGTCTCCCTACTGTACAAAGCAAATGCATTCCCCTCTGATCACCACTCTGCTTCTCTCCTCTTCTTCCTTTCACTTATGAACTTCTCTAAAAAGCAACCAACCACTCTCCTTTCACTCACTGCCTCCACTTCCTCTCTGCCCACTCTTCTGCTTTACCTCTTACAATCTGTATTCTGACAACACCAGTGGGGGAATGTGCTCTGGTTTGCCAGACCAGAGACTTAGCAACAGATTGGAGAGATACTGTATGCATGCTGAGTGTCATTTGCAGTGAAGCTCAGTGGTTAGGTTGCAAAGGTGGCTCAGAGTTAAATTGTTTAGGCCTCAAATGCCAGCTAAGGGCCTGGTGGCCATGAGGTGCTCATATCACATTTTGAGTGGAAAGGACAGGGTCCCAGCCATGTTCTAGGATTAATATTAAGTGAAGTGAAAAAAGAAAAAAAAGTAGAAATAAATTATGGGCAGAGATTTGAAGTGAAGAGATAGAGAGGCACAGGAAGTGGGTAAGGAGAGGTTTTGTGACTCTCCAAATTTGTGAAGAAGAAAATGTGAAATGTGTGTGAAAGTGCATTTTCCTCAGCTTATATTTCCTTTAAATCCTAGCATTTCTTGCACATTCTTTCACACCAGAAGGTAACCTTTACAGAAGTTTTGATTTTCACTCTAATGGCCCTTTTCTCCAATGTAATGAAAAAGAGAACAAAAACAAAACAAAAGAGAGCAATTATTACTTCATGATAACAGTGTAAAAACAAAGCCATTTTAGATTCAGTTGCCATATGTGGATGATTTCATACATGTGAGCCACATGTGAGCGTCACATTGTGTATGTGATTCCAGTTTTGGCAAATTTACAGCAAAACTACTTCAGGTAGTTGGCTTCTGAGAGCAGATTACAATCCATTAAAACCAGTTGGCATTGAGTCAACTCCAGTTCATGGAGATCTCATGTGTAGAGAAGAACTGTGCTCCACAAGGGTGTCAATGGCTGATTTTTAACAGACATATTTCCCAGGCCTTTCTCCTGAGGTGCCTCTGGGTAGACTTGAACCATCAACCTTTAAGTTAGCTGTGGAGTGTATTAACTGTTTGCACCACCTCCTACAACCAGGTACTCCTACAATCCACTGTTGTTGTTATTGTTATGTGCCATCGAGTTGGACCTGACTCATAGCAACCCCTCCTTGGGTTTCTGAGGCAGGATCACTACGGAAGTAGGATTGCCCAAACTTCCTTCCAAGGAAGGAGTGGCTGGTGGGTTTGAACCGCCAGCCTTCTGGTTAGCAGTCAAGTGCCTTAGCCACTATGCTACCAGAGCTCCCTACAATCCACTAGAAGCCCCCTATTGCCTTTAAGATGAACTGATACTCCTCAGCCAACATACAGCTCCTCCTCTGGGGAGACTGTCCACTCACTGCTCATCCATTTAGCCTCTCCTCAAATGCTCCGTGTCCTATCTTACCTTTATTTCATGCCCCACAGCACACTCCTCCCTACACCACCTCTCTTTTTCCATTCCTGTCTAATTGTCTCCTCCATGCTCCCATGGTGCCATGGACCCACCCCTTTCAGAGACTTTATGTGGTAACTATTGCTTCTGTACAGACTCACCTCCTTTGGGCTATATCTTCTGTATTCTTAGCACCTAATGTAATTCTAGGCACGTAGTAGATTTTCAATAAATGCAACTGAGTGCAATAAAACCAGGAATATACCCAAAGATTAATGATTTCCAGTCTCCATTCCTGCTTTATGTATTTTCTTTCTTTGATACATGTTTATCATTAGTTGCAAAATAGATGAGGTAATGTGTTTCTTTCTTTAAGTGTTCTTTTTTTTGTTTTCCCTTTTCCTCCACTCTGTTACAGCATCTTAAAGAAAGATATGGAAGGGGATTTCTTCCGCCACCAGGCACCTCTGTCTCAAATGGTCACAACCGTGAAACCCTACAATCCCTTCAATAGGAAGGACAAAACAACTGTAGACTATTAAAGAGGCCAGACTGCTTAGTGAGACTGCTAAGAACTCAATGTCAGTGACATTGCACCCAGCCTGTCCCCAGTGTGTCTGTAGTACTGATGGAACCCCGGCACTTTTCCTGCCTAAAGCAGAGATTCCAAACTCCAGCCTTCACGAGTCTCCTAACCTGTCCAGTGGCTCTCTGCCTGGTCCCAGAATGCCATAATTCTGTGATGGCAGCTGAGTCATTCTGAAGCCACCAGCTACAGGGGTTTTATTTCACATGATTTCTCTGTAGAGTTGGAATACCAGGTCTACATAGGATCTTTGTGTCATGACCAAGTTAATGCAGGAGTGATAACTGTTGAGCACAGAACATGGAAAGGTAGAACTGAAGGGTACTACAGAGATTATCTAGTCAAAACCCGTATTTTTCTCAATGGGAAAATTTGCGTGGCTGAGAGAAAAAGTGACAGACTCTGAGAGCTGCATTCTGCTTCTCACAGAGGGGACAACAACACATGGAGGATGACATCACAGTGATGCATTAAATATGGGATGACATCCCTAGAGGAAAGCATCACATAAGGGGTAGTATCACATGTGGGATGACTGTATATGGAGGATGACATTAAGGATGCAGAGGGGACAAAATGCTTCTTGTCCCAATTGGTATTTCTTTCAGACAGAGAAACATCCCCCAAGTTTCATGAGGGTGATCAGGCAAGAACTACTACCTTTGGCCATGTTGGAGTTAGCGGGCAGCATGACATGGCCATAACCCAACAGAGCATTAGCTCATAGAGTCACTTAGTATGCATGTGGGATAAGAGAGGGCCCTGCTGCTTCCTCAAATGTGTTTATATTTGTATACATATAAATATGTATGCACATAAAGAATAGTTATCTGTATACAGGCATTTGTAGAGCCTGTTGTAGGTTACAGAGTACTTTCATCAACCTCCACTCATTATTTCCTACAACTCTGTAATTAATTCTTGTAGCATGCATTGTACAAAAATCTTGCTATTTTATGAATAGGTAGACTGAGGCTAGTAGAGGTGAAGTATTTACCTAAAGTCACGCAAGTAATAAATAGTAGAGTTAGATCTAGAACCTAGGTTCCCTAACTTTAAATGTAGTACTCCCTTTATGCCATTTCTCCACAGATTGGATAACTTTCACTCACCTTTCATTGAGTGAGTGAAAAACAAAGGGAAAACAGAAACAGAAACAAACTCCCTGTGATTCTTGATCTTTCAGCAGCATTTCATAGGGTTTCTATCTGCCTTCTCCTCCTGTGCAATTCAGACAGAAATGGTATCCTACAGAGCTCCAAGCAAATGCTTATAATATTTTGAGGGTTATTTAGCCTTACTTATCTCACAGAAATTTCTGTATGATGTAAACAGTTAACATATTTGTCTGCTAAACAAAAGTTTGGAGGCTCAAGTCCACCCAAAGGCATCTCAGAAGAAAGGCCTAGTGATCTACTTCTGAAAAATCAGCCATTGAGAGCCCTATGCAGCACAATCCTAGTCTGATACTTCAAGTTGACTTGAAGGGAATTAACTGGTAGTATTATCTCATAGGAAAGGAAAGACAGCTCTTTTCATTCGAAATCCTGTATGCTTTCAATTGACAGTAGCCTAGACTTTGACACTGAATCACAAGCACATCTCTGTATGCTGCTCCCTGGACCTGTCCTGGGCTGTGACAAACAGGAAGACAGCAGCCATCCTCCTGAGCACCTGCCTTGCCTATAAGACAAGACTTCAGTTGAGTCTGCTTTTGTATAATTATACTCAAGAAGAGCAATTATATAAAAATCTGGCCAAAATAAAAATTGTTGTCTCTGGAAGACTTTCACCAAAACATAAATGGAAAATATTGACCCCCATCCTGGAAGAAGGAGCTCTGGTGGCATAGTGCCTAAGGCATTAGACTGCTAACCATAAGGCTGGTGGTTCAAACCCACCATCCACTCCTCAGAAGGAAGGTTGGGCAATCTACTTCCATAGTGATACTGCCTCAGAAACCCAAGGAGAGGTCGCTATAAGTCAGATCCGACTCGATAACAGTGTTTTGTTTTTGTTTTGTTTTGTTTTCATCCTGGGGGTAGATTTATTTCATTCCCTGAGATCACAGCCTTTGGTGAACAGCCCATGCAGGCCATTTTGTCAGGAGGTGCTGCCTTCCAAACACTGAGACCCACCCACCTTCATCATCTGAATTCTTCAGTGGCAGTAACACTTGCTCTGGACATTCTTTGCAAGCTGAGATTATCTTTCCAATCTTTACAGTGCAGATATCTGGACTCTCATCAGAGCAGGAGGACATCCAATGCTGCTCTAGAAGGAAGTGTTTTCTCTCCCTATAGCTCCCGTAGGCCATATCCAGGAGAGCAGAGATGATGACTCTATTTGCACTATGACTAGGTCAGAATTTGAAGATAAAATTCAAGCCCTGCTCTAGACTCCAAAGTCAGCTCCAGCAATGGAGAACAGAGAAACTCCAGTACTCTGTGTGTGTAAATTCATGTGTGTAAGTTGCATTATTCGGGCTTCCATTGGCCAACGTCAAACTGGAATATACAACAATAAAGGGAGATAGTCTCAGGGATATTTAACTCCCCTACAAGTCCTGAATTCGTGATGCATCAAATAACATTCCTCCTCAAGTTAGCCACTTGCCCTTCACTTTTCTCCCCAAAGCAAAATCTTCGCTACAACATTATAATCTCAGCTTTTATTTTTCACTATGTATTATTCAAATTCTGATGCTACAAAAAATCTCTGCATTTTTAGAAAACTGATATGGAAGATGGCATTAGAAATTATTTTAAAGTTCACCTGAAAGAGAAAAATGTGAGTTACTAACCATATCCTAGCAGATAATAGTATTAAAATGTAATATAGTAAAACTATTACAAAAGTGTAACAATATTTTAAAAATATGATATTCATTATAGAGCAGAATACAAAGTCCAGAAATGAAAAGATAAAGAAATCATTCCAAACTCATGCGTATAGGACAAATTTTTGCAATATATGTTAATGAGGCAACCATTTGTAAACAAAGAAGAAAGGTAGATCTAGATATTAACCTTTAAACAAAAGTATATTGTTCTCTGATTACTGATTTAAATGGATAATTTAAGGCCTTTAGACAAATCACCAAAAGAGCCCTAGTGGTGCAATGGTTAAGCACTTGACTGCTACCCAATAAGTTGACCGTTTGAACCTATCAGCCACTCTGTGAGAGGAAGATGTGGTATTTTGCTTCTGTAAAGATTTATAGCTTTGCGAGTAGCAACTGGGATCTTAAAAAGCTAGCAAGCTGCCATCTAGATGCAACAATGAGTCTCTCTTCGTCTAGAGCAAAGAAGAATGAAGAAAAGCAAAATTCATGGAAACAATTAGTCCTAGCGACTGGTACACCATCCGATCTGCAGCCTATATGACTATGAGACCAGAAGAACTAGATGATACCTGGCTACCACTGTCATCCATGTGGAAGAGGATCTATGTAGGAGATCCTTGATAGAGAGGGAGAACAATGTGGAAAAAACTCAAAATCATTTGGAGAAAAAAAAAGGGGGGGAACCAGGTTTGTTGGTCCAATAGAGCCTGGTGGAACTGCTGAGACTATGGCCTCTAGCTGCCCTTCAGGTCTGGAATTGAACCCACACACTGTTTGGTTTCCAGCCAAACAAAAGACAGGCATATGAGTTGAACATTTACCTCAGGTAGATACACTCCTTGGAGAGAACAATCATGGGAGAAAGAAGAGCTGCTTATGCACAGGGAGACAGCTCTGGGGCAGGAGTGCCTGGAGGGATGGACACTGGAAAGAGGTAACTATGGGGAGGAGGTGAGAGGGGAACTTTTGCATTGTTTTAAACTGTGGTCAATGTCATGAGACAAAGTGTATGTGAACTGCTGTGTGGAAAGTGAATTTGCTCTGTAAATCTTCACCCAAATAATAATTAAAAAAAAAAAAAAAAGATTTATAGCCTTGGAAACCCTATGAAGCAGTTTTATTTTGCCTTATTGGGTCATTATAAGTCAGTGAAGACTCAATGGCAATGGATTTGGATTTTTTGGTTTGAACAGATCACCTGAAAATTTAAGGGATTGATTTATAAGGTTGGGCGAGTAGAAAATATTTTCAAATAGGACACTGAAGCCAAAATTCATGAAGGAAAAAACAATTTTCTAATGTAAAAAATATACCAACAAAAGTCAGAAAATCCCAATGGAAAAATATGTCAGATAAATAATTCTTGCTATTATTGTTTTAAAAATCCATGGCAAAACCATGATACCCCAGTAGGAACAAAGCAAAGGATATTAAGAAATAAACTGAAAAAAACAAGAAACTTAAATGACCCATAAGCAAATAAAAATGTTTAAGCCTCACTAGTATTAGAGAAATAATTATAATATTTCACTTTTCACGAATGAATCTGTATCTATGAGAAGAGATATGTATCTTTATTCTCTAATAGCATAAGTCAAGGAGCTCTGGTGTTGTAGCAGTTAAGACATTTGGCTGCTAACCAAAAGTTCAGTGGTTCGAACCCTCCAATCACTCCATGGAAGAAAGATGAGGCAGTCCACTTCCATAAAGAATTGCAACCTTGGAAAATCAATGGGGGTCTCTATGAGTCAGAATTGACTCAATGGCAGTGAGTGAGCTTGAGTAGGAATCTACAAAATGGCAACTAACAGCATCAATAGAAGCATCATACATTGGTTCCTACTTTCTATAAGACATTTGGCAAAATGTTTCAAGAGGATTTATAAGTGGCATGTATTTTAACTTAACAAGCAAATGAATAGATAAATGAGAAAATATGTTTATATAAAGAAATTAAAGGTACAGAACTTTAATGAACTGAGAGAAATTAAAAACAATTTACTGTCATTCATCAAGAGAAAATTTAGTGGGCAGTTCCATTAAGATGTCAAAATAGGCAGAAAGACTGCACAGACCCTCTTCAACAAAGAAAAGGGGAAACAATTAACACA